CTCTCTCTCTCTCTGTCTCTCTTTCTCTCTGTCTCTTTCTCTCTGTCTCTCTCCCTCACTTTCTGAGACTTTCTCTCTCTCGCGCTCTCTCTCTCTCTCTCTCTCTCTATCTCCCCCCTCTCTTTCCTGTCTCTCTCTATCCCCTTCTCTCTCTCTCTCTGTCTCTCTCTCCCTGTCTCTCTCTTTCTCTCTCTCTCTCTCCCTCTCTCCTCCCTCTCTTTATGCCCATCTCTCTCTACCCCCTTTTCTCTATCCTCTGTCTCTCTCCCTCTCTCTCTCTCTGTCTCTCTCTCTCTCTCTCTCTCTAATCTATATATAGCCATATAGCCTATATATGTTATATATATTCTCACAGAGAAACAAAGAATGCGTCTGAGTGTTCTAGGGTCTGCTGGGTAATAATAATAATAATTGTAAAAGTAAAGCTTTAAAGTGCGTATAGAGTGTGTTGGAAAGCATGAATACAGTAATAATGCACAGTTCGATTTCGTCAGGACTGGCCTCAGTAGTTCGAGGGATCCGTAGTTCAAGGGATATCTCACAAAGATACTGAAGAAAAACAAGGGACCGCTGGCACAGTTCGATGGATACGTGATTTAGAGGTGTTCTACCTATCCGTGTTTTACAGTATAACATTAATAGCTCAAATTCGCGGAGATCTGCCTCGATAGTTCAAGGGATCCATAGTTCGAAGGATAACATGAACAGTGTGATAATGGCATCGGCTATGTCAGAGAATCAAGGGAAGCAACAAAGTTTGCTACTTTAGGGGCAAAACAATAGATTGTATCATAATGCACAATCCTTCCTCTCGCCCGCTCCACACAAGCCTAGCTAGATAAGATAATCATTGGGCACGCCTGTGGAGCAGTGCGCTAATAATAGCACAGCTAGCTGCTTATGTAGAGGGGGGAGAAGTAGTATTAGTATATTTACCGACCTTTCCTTTTTCCGGTTTTATTAAATTATTTTTATTTTTATTTTTAAAAATGTATTATTATTATTATTATTATTTTGTCATAAGTGCACCTCAAAGGACCTCTAGGGCGGCGTAATTATTTCAACTCTTCCGTGTTTGTGTTTGAGCTTCTCGTAATTACAAAGAAAAAGAAGTAAAAAAATGGGGGGGGAAATGGAACCACAGGCACAGTTCAGTGGATGTGTGATTTCCTGTCTTCTGTGTTCGACCTATCTGTGTTATGCTGCATGTGCCATAGAAATGCATTGACCCCTTTCTGTCCATCCATCCAACCATCCATCCTGTCTCTCTCTCTTTCTTTATCTCTCTCAGTCTCCTTCACTTTCTCTTTCTCTCTCTCTCTCTCTCTCTCTCTCCCTCTCCCTCTCTCTCTCTCCCTCTCTCTCGCTCTTTTCTCTCTCTCTCTCGCTCTTTTCTCTCTCTCTCTCTCTTTTCTCTTCCTGCTCTCTCTCTCTCTTTCTTTTTCTCTCTCTCTTTGTTTCTCGCTCTCTTTGTTTCTCTCTCTCTCTTTCTCTCTCTCCCAGTTTCTCGTTTTCTTCACCAAAACAAGAGGTATTGGGAGCAAGATGGGGCACATGGAGGACAACAGCTTTCCAGAGGCTCTTCGCGGAGATTCAAACATCTGAATCTATACATATTATTATTATATTTTTTCTACATTGTTTAAAAAAAAAAAAAATGAAATTCTAAAAGCCTCTACATTGTTTTAAAAAAAAAAAAGAAAATTTGTATTTAAATTTTTAAACATGGTCAAAGAACAAGACAAAACCATCTTAAGGTATCGCTACAAAAAGAGCGTCTGTCAAAAGTCCTGTCAAACATAAGTCAATGACTGTTCACTTTTGACTGAAAATTATGTTTACCTGTCTCCTTAAATGTTTCAGGAATCCTGCTGGAGTTCACGATACATGTACTTCTGTTGGTGGGACTTCCAAAAGTCAATCCCTGAAGTCGAAGTCACAACAAGACATTCAAGATATCGGGATCTACTGACAGTGTTGAATTCAGCAGCTTATTATAAAAATAGAACACTTGAAGTGTAAAAGCTTCCCCCCCCCCCCAACTTTATGCTCCTGGGAAAAGTACTCTAAGTCTAACATCCAGAGATCTGTATTTGTACCGGTACTTTATGTTTTATAGATTTAATTTGAATGCTCCTCAAATGAGTGAGCCATCTTGCTCTGCTTCGTTCTCTCTGAGACGCCTTTTGTTGATCCAGCTAGGGAAGATTTAAGAATTGTCAGCAACAAACTAACAGCAGTGGCACTAAACAAGGCATGTGAAGATGGCGATGTATGAAAGCTGTTCAAAGAAAGAGAAGGATGCGAAGGAGGCTGAAATTGAAGAGATCCAGTCTTGTTATCCAGGCCGGTGTGAAGTGATATTTGATTCTGACCCACCATGTACGCTTGTTTTGGTTCAGCCTGTTGAAGAATCAAGTACCATCATTGAGCTGCAGTTTGGTTTAGAATACCCAGATGAAGTGCCAGTGGTTTCAGTGACTTCTAAAAGCCTCTCAAAATCTGATACCAAAAGTCTGCAAGTGTTGCTTGATGAAAAAACTTCCCAGTTAGCAGGACATTTGATGGCAATGAAGCTTTTGGGGACGAGTGAGGAATTCTTAAAAACTTGTGTTTCCTCTCAGGGCACCATTAAAAATGAAAGAGGAAATAGATCTAATAAGAAAAAAGGAAAAGGTGAAAGACAGCATGACACGCATACAGTGGAGATGTTGTCGGATGACCAGATTCAGATTAGTAAAGGAAAGAAAGGCAAAAGGTCTAGACGTAAGGCTCGTTATAGCAGTGATAGTGATGGGGATGTTTCTGATCTTTATGCAGAGAATGGTTTGAGTCCATTTGGTGTCGCCGACAATAGTTCTGTAAGCAACAACACACTCTGTCCAGGAGATTCGGTTCAAATAGAAATGCGTCCAACTCATTTCATCGCTGTAAGAATCACTCATGCAGATATTCGGGAGAGTTTGACGCGCATTCAGAAGGTGTTGGTTGAAAAGGAACCATTGCTGAGCAAGGGCACTTTCACACCTGAGATGCTTCACGTGACTTTATGCGCGGTTGGACTGGACACAGAGACAGAGGTATCACAGTGTATTTCTGCATTAGATGGAATGAGATCGGATCTCACTCACGCCCTGCCTCGCACGCCACTTACAGTCCATGGCATGGCACAGTTTTACAACAGGGCTATCTACGCTAAGGTAACACACGGAGATGATTTCTTACACTTCCACTCCACACTAAGAACAAAGCTTAGAGAACATAACGTTGATATACGTGATGAGCATGAAGGTTATTCCCCGCACGTGACGATCGTTAAAGTGAAAAGACCAGAAAGACGATTGTTTGGTTCTCGAAATATAAGACCGTCTATTTACTCCGACTTTCTTGATGTTGTTCATGGGCACCAGGCAATTGATGCTCTATATTTGTGTGCAATGGATGGACAAAGACGAGAAGATGGATTCTACACAACTCTTCATGAGTTACATTTGTGAAACCCTATTAGAATTAATTAGACATATTTTTAACATCTCAGGACCCACTCACTTGAAAAAGACATTAGGACATTGTAATTCCATCTATAGTATCTGTTAGTTACTCTCTCCCACAACACTTGAGGGATACAAGTTGGAGGTGAAATTTTTAATTGATTTAAAAACATAGATCTACCTTATGAAATGCCATCTTGACAGTTAGAATTTTTTATTAATTATAGTACAATGTACTCTTATGTTCATAATGTGAAGTTCGTATTGCTAGAAATTATGGTGTGATAGTAGAAATGTTTTCTTGTATGTTAATGTTAATCTAAAGAGCGTATGTATGCATGTCCATTCTCTCACATTTATTTTTAAAAGGGTGACCTTATTTAGGCCACATATGGCCTAAATAAGCTAAACCCCCCTCCCTTACCTTATTTGGGCCACAGGTGGCCTAAATAAGCTAAACCCCCCTCCTTTACCTTATTTAGGCCACAGGTGTGGCCTGAATAAGCTAAACCCCCCTCCCTTACCTTATTTAGGCCACACCTGTGGCCTAAATAAGCTAAACCCCCCTCCCTTACCTTATTTAGGCCACATATGTAGTCAAAATAGCCAAACCAACGTAAAGCATTGTTTTCTTTACAAGTTACGTTATTATCTCTTTAAAAACTCTTCACATCCATTTTCCTTCACAGCCGTATCGTACATGACATGTGATGTAGAATCAATTTAAGGTCCTTTTAAAGGTGACCAGAAAATAAAAAAATTATTTTATGATCTTCACTTGCACTTGCAATTTTTTGGACAAATTAAAGTCTACCTAATTATATTTTTCCCCCTCATTTTTCTTCACTATAAATGACAACTGGCATGTATTGTTTTCAGTTATTATCAAGAAAGTGGATAGGCGGACTACGGGGTCTATCTAGCCAAAAGGATAGGTGGTCCCCGGGGTCTACCTAACAAAATGTTAGGTTTTAAGATGTGAACCCCGGAGTCAGCGTAGTGAAATAAGTAGATTTAGGTTTACCTAAGGATCGGTGGACCCCGGGGTCAACATAATGAAATAAGTAGATCTAAGTTTATTTTATAATAGGACTGGCGGAGCCCGTGGTCAAAGTAGTGAAATTATAAGTAGATATAGGTTTAATTAAGGATTGAAGAACCATGGGGTCAATGTAGTGAAATCAGTAGATCTAGGTTTAATTAAGGATTGGTGGACCCTGGGGTCAATGTAGTGAAATAAGTACATGTAGATCTAGGTTTAATTTTAAGGATTGGTGGAACCTGGAGTCAACGTAGTGAAATAGGTAGGTTTAAGGTGAACCCCAGGGTCTACCTAACGAAACACTAGTTAGGTTTTAGAATAGGTGGATCCTGCGGTCACCGTAGTAAAATAAGTAGGTTTAATCAAGGTGTCCCGGGGGTCCACCAATCCTTAATTAAACCTTCTTAATCCTCTATGGCCTTGGTGACTCCGGGTTCCACCAATCTTTAAAGAAACCTACTTATTTCACTGCGGTGACCCCAGGGTCCACCTGTCCTAAAACCTAGTACCAATCCTTACTTAAACCAAACCTTATTTCACTACGGTGACTCCGGGGTCCACATCCTAAAACCTAGTATTTCGCTATGCAGACCCCGGAGTCCACCTATCCTCTACAGGACTATACTATTATTATCAATTTGCAATTTTCATTGATTAGCATTTTTGTTTAAATATAACATTGAATCAGAGTGCAGGGGAGACCGAGGCGCCCGGTCGATTCGGTGGTCGGCTTTTGTAGATCTATGCATTTTTTACGGAAAGCCGTATTACCTAACCCTATTACTAGATCTATTAGTGTTGTGAAAACTTCAACCTCTACAGCTCAGGCGTCAAAAGATGCTGGTAAATAATAATAGATCTACGTCCTGAAGTTTCATAATTTATTTTTATACAGAATAACACAGTACACAGTCAGTAGTTTTTATTTCATCGAGTTATAAAAATGGCCTTCGTATAAAAATTGCCTTGTTTTCAGAAGCAAGTTTTAATAGTTCTAGTTCTACCTAATCGATTTTCATGCGAATTCAACCATTTTGATGATCTTTCTTTTCCTTTTAAAAAGATGTAGATCTAGGCCTGTCGGATGTGGCAATGCGAATAGCACTGAGTTGTTTAGATCTAGATCTAGACCCATCAAAACACGAGGCTTCGTGGCCGATCACAAAAGTCTACAGGGCTTATCGAGGCCGATTCGCCCTGCCGCGAGCACGTTCACTAAACTGCCTACTAGATAGAATCTACTACCAAATATTCTCCACACGATCTTTGCTACTACTACTACTAGGCCTACTAGCCTACATGTACTACTACGAGACAGTACGAGAGAGTGTCACTCAGGCAAAGATAGTGTAACTTTGACTCAGCCACGTAGTATACACACTTTTTATACCCCAAATTTAACCCGAAAGTCCATTCGGAGGATTTGACCTTTTCACTTGACCAAAGTGTGCCAAAATGGTAGCCTAGCTTTTGCCCCTCCATGAAGGAAAAATCCGGCCCTCATTCAAACCATTGGAATTGAGCAAAATTTTGCGTTTTGTGCTTTGTTCTTTACAATATTCATTATGGTTATGATTTATAAGTTGTACACTGAGGCAAAACCATACTAAATGAGAAAGGGGCACCATTATGAAAGTGGAATGAACTCAGTTGCCTGAAAAGGGTAGTTTGAACATGTGTGGCCTAAATAAGCTAAACCCCCCTCCCTTACCTTATTTAGGCCACAGTCCACTGTGGCCTAAATAAGCTAAACCCCCCTCCCTTACCTTATTTAGGCCATATGTGGCCTAAATAAGCACTCCCTTTTTAAAAATAAAATACCGGTAGTGAAATGGTATAGATTTAACGTCCATATCAACACTGTTAGGTTATTTAAGAGGCGGGACCTCGGAGTTTAACGTCCATCTCAGAAAGGACCGAGCCAAGCGGGAAATACGTGTTAAGTGCCTTTCCTTTCCCAAGGACACAACATCCGCCCGAGCTGTGGCTTGAACCCCCAAACTCGCAATCTCATGATAACGAGTTGGTAAGCCTAACCACTAGGCCACCGACGCCACTATTTTTCACTTTAGATGAAGGTAATTCCTAATGGGGTGCGCTATAGTAGGCCTAATAATCTGCATTGTTTTATTTGTTTATTTTTTTTATTATCATTATTGTTATTATTGTTGTTGCTGTTAGTAAATTGCAGTTTACTTTCAATTATTGATAACACTATCTATGGAAATAAGCCTTCCTTGGGGCTGTGGAGAACACTGGTACAGTCTGTTCTGATAGATTTAAATGTACATGTTTTACAGCTCTATCGACATAATTTTGATCATTTAGGAGGCTGGCTTCTACCTGCCAATCAAGGTCAACCTGGTTGAGAGGAAAAATATTATTATAGATCGAATTTGCACAAAATGTTTCATTTTCAAGGCCCTGTTTAAAATTCAGTAGCTCTGCAGTAGACTCTAATTTGAATTTTGCTCTAACAGATTGCAATGCATTCTTCATGAAAACACACCATGTAGGCCCTATTCATCATACGGTTTACCAAAAATGAGAAAAAGTCACGTGTTCAGTAAAACAGAATTTTTATTTAAATAAAGTTCTCTTTTCTCTAGATGGTAACAAACTTTATAACATAACAAATGGATTTGTCTTTATTGAATGAATCTGATGTACACATGTAGGGACTTCCCTCATAGGCTGACTTGATGTACAGTCTAAAGTATAAGGGGTGGTGGTGGTTGAAGTTAGTTTTGCTGGAACTATAACAATAATAATAATATATTTTTAATGTGGTAAAACCTCGGCATAACATACCCACTTTGTGCTCAAGATTTTGAACATCTTACCCGAAGTACACATTAGGCAAACAGAGTAAAAATAGCCTACTAAATGGGCCTTAGGGCTTCAGAAAGTAAACCTTACGCCGATCGTGCATTTGAAGCTGTGTATGTTGTACCAAGATTTTACTGTAATTGCATTATACAGCGCTCACATCCATGCTATACAGCGCTCACATCCATGCTATACAGCACGCTTTATGTGTGTATGTTGTACCAAGGTTTTACTGTAATTGCATTATACAGCGCTCACATCCATGCTATACAGCACGCTTTATGCGCTTTACAACCAACTTAGAGATCTATACCACAGTGAAAAAGGAAAGATTCCCATCATAAAAAGAAGAAAATTTGGAGGGTGGGGGGATGCAATGGCATGTTTGTAAAATTGTCTGCATTGGTGTAAGATTGTGTATTTGCTATTCTTTGTATTTTGTATGTTTGTGTATTTAAATATATATGTAGGTATATTTATGAATGTGTATATGTATGCCATGCCAATGTAACCAAAATTTCCCCACAGGGATCAATAAAGTCTAATAAAGTGAAACTCAGGGAGTCAATGGTGTATGACATTGAAAAAGGCTTAAGTGTTTAGAACATTGACATTGACTTTACACTGACAGAATACACACACAGTTAGTTGTGAAACAGCCTAAAGGGTGCCAGCCCACTTGATGATCTACTAGCCTAGTTTTAGTTAAAGTTTTACGGCACTTCATGAATATAAGTCGTAAAAGTGCCGAAGATTGATTAGAGGTGTTACTAGAGAGTAACATACAAAGAAAAGAAGGAGAAGTGAGATAAGAACGATAGATGCTTCAAAGAGAAGAAGGGGCAAGCCACTCCAGAGCACCTGCCAACCACCCACTCTTGGTGGTCTACCTATCTGACCGCGGTCTACCTATGCTTCTAAAGGCAAATGGTTAGGGCTATGCTTAGAGTAATTGGTTAGGGCTCGGTTAAAGGTAAGAGTCAGGGTTGTTGATTGTAGTTGACTAGTAGACAGTCAAGTCATGGAACAATTGTCAGACTGCTCCAGTGGTAGACTGTCAGGTGGACTACAAACATAGTGGTAGACCTTAAAATAGACTACAAACATCGCGGTATGCTATCAAATAGACTACAAACATCGCGGTATGCTGTCAAATAGACTACAAACATTGTAGTAGACTGTCAAATAGACTACAAACATCGCGGTAGACTGTCAAATAGACTACAAACATTGTAGTAGACTGTCAAATAGACTAAAAACATTGTGATAGACTGTCAAATAGACTACAAACATCGCGGTATGCTGTCAAATAGACTACAAACATTGCGGTATGCTGTCAAATAGACAACAAACATTGCGGTATGCTGTCAAATAGACAACAAACATTGCGGTATGCTGTCAAATAGACAACAAACATTGCGGTATGCTGTCAAATAGACAACAAACATTGCGGTATGCTGTCAAATAGACAACAAACATTGCGGTATGCTGTCAAAT